TTCCCAACGCCTGGCCGTTCAAAGAACAGCTTCTCGAGGAGCTCGCGACGGCCAAACGGAACAAGGAAGCGGAGGACGCCAAGAAGAAGGAGGAAGCGGCGTTGCGACGGAAGCAGAAAGGTTTGGTAGGAAAAGACGTGGCAGACTTGGTGACGCAGGCGGCCGCGGCCCAGGCCACCTTTGCCTCCCAAGGGCCCGGCACGCTTTCCCTGGAAGAAAATGGCGTGAACGACATGAAAGCTTTGGGGCAACAGAGCCGACGGGCATTTATCCGGGATTTGAAAGAAGTGGTGGAGCAGGCCGACGTGGTCCTGGAGGTCCTGGACGCCCGAGACCCGTTGGGTTCCCGGGGGGAGGGGGTGGAGGAACTGATCCTCCGAAAGCCGAACAAGAAACTAGTCCTAGTCCTGAACAAGGTCGACCTGGTGCCAAGGGAAGTGGTGGGGGCGTGGCTGGCCTACCTTCGCCGTTTCCATCCCACCGTGGCTTTTAAATCCGCCACCCAGGAGCAACGGGTGCAGCTCGCCCAGCACGGTGGGGACGCGTCCAAGGCAGGGGCCAACCTCCTCTCCCGCAGTGGCTCCGTGGGCGCCGAGGCTTTGCTGCAGCTTTTGAAAAACTACTCGCGGTCCCTGGACATCAAAACCTCCATCAGCGTGGGCGTGGTGGGCTACCCCAACGTGGGGAAATCCTCCCTCATCAACTCCCTGAAACGGACCAAGGCGGCCGGCGTCTCCTCGACCCCCGGATTCACCCGCTGCATGCAGGAAGTGCAGTTGGACAAGCACATCAAACTGTTGGACTCCCCGGGCATTGTGTTCGACGATTCGGACGTGGAGGGGGTTCTCCTTCGGAATTGCGTGAAGGTAGACAGCCTCCCGGACCCCTCCGCGGCCGTGGGCGCGCTCTTGCAACGCTGCGAGGCTCAGGACTTGATGATGATATACGCCTTGCCCGCCTTCGACGCCACCGACGTCCAAGGCTTCCTGGCCCTGCTGGCTCGGAAGATGGGGAAGCTCTTGAGGGGGGGGGTCCCGGACCGGACGGCGGCGGCGCGGGTCTTGCTCCAAGATTGGAACACGGGCAAGGTCCCTTTCTACACGAAGCCGCCGCCTCTGCCCTCGTCCCGGGTGGACGAGGAAGCGCAATTGGTGGGCTCGTTGGGCACTGCTTTCGAGGTCGGCTCGGTGTTGGAGGAGGGCGATGCCAAGGTGATGGCTTATCTGGAAGAAGGGGGGGAGGGCGGGGTAGGGGACGGGAATTTTGTCGCCTTTGAGAGTGGTGGGGTGGCGGGGAGGAGGGTGGGTCTGGGATTGAGTGAAGGGAGACAAGGGGAACTGGGGGACGAGGAGGACCTGGAAATGGCCGAGGGGGATGCAGAGGATGGAGAAGAAGAAGAAGAAGAAGAAGAGGAGGAGGAGGAGGAGGAAGAGGAGGAGGAGATTATGGAGGTGAGCGAGGCCCCTGTGTCTCGGCTCCGGACCTCCAGGCGCGGGACGAGGCGACAGGACGCAGGCAAAGTGTCAACACGAGAGGGGGAGAAGATGAAGACGGAAGCGGGCCAGGGGGAGCTGAAAAAGAAAGGTCGCATGACAGACAGAGGGTCAACGGCCTCAGGAAAATCCGCTCAGGGCGAAGGGGCACGAAGGAAGGAGAGAACGAAACGGAGTCTTTCCAATCAAAGTGAGGCGGTGAGTATGGCTATGGCATTGGATGATGCGAAAGGGGATGGCTTGAATGTCCAGATAAATCAAACAGCCAGGAAGAAAATGGTAGCGGAGAGGAAGAAAGCTCGCAAGCTGACTCGACGGGCGGGGGGGACCGGGGCGACCGCTATGGACGCAGACTATGATTTTGCAACTGACTTCGTGTGATGATGGCGTGAATTTGTTCGTAGTGCTAGGATCATGATATACAAAGAAAAGTCGATGAAAAAGTACATACCAAAATGAGCGGACATTCACCTCTTTCAGGTATGGAGTTTCTTTGTGCGTGTTTATAAGACTTTATTTTGTTTTTCCCGGCGGCAGGAACGAGGCTGGGATGGCTCTCCCCTGCTACTGGTACTGCCCGGGAGACCCTCCTGCACACCCGTCTCGAGAGGGCAACGTCCACGCGCGTTGGTCTATTTCATGTCCACTTGTTGCTGTTGGATAATTTATGGTCCAGTGTTTCCGTGATTTTCGACCTTCCGAGGTTTGAATGACAATGGAAATCCCTAGTCTTTCTTCAAAACCATTGCCAAGATACCCCGGTCCTCTCCTCGAGTGTAGCATGTCCTTCGTCGAACTTCAACTAGTAATCATACCCAACACTTTTTCCCGGCACTTTTCCTTGCAGACCCGCATCATGGGAATTAAACGTCGACGGGCTGCGGAGGCGGATGTCTCGTTCGTACCAAAGAAGGGCAGTGAAGACAGCCTTTCCCCTTCGTCCTCGACGACAGCGGCCCTCAGAAACCCCACATTGACGCCATCGCAAACCCAGACAGCCATGCTTCTTGCCCTCCGCGCAGGGGGCTCCTTAGGTTGGGGCAAGCCCAACGACGAGCCTTTTTGGCCCTGTATAGCGGCACGCTCCTACTCGGTCCTGCACCTTTTCACAAGCACTCAGGCCCCCCGCCAGCCTCTGGGGAAGGGCCAGCTCTTGGCATACTTCTTGGGCGAAGACACGTACGACATTCTGGACGAAGCCTGGTTTGAAGTCGGGTACGTTTTACGGAAGCCGAGCAAGGTACAATTGGCGGCCCGTCCAGAATACGCCGCAGGGGTCGCCCTAGGAGAGGGGTTGCAAGCCCGCTTAGATTCGTTGGACGACGAGGAAGCAGAAAAATTGCGCGGCCTACTCCGCAGAAAGGAAGGACGGGTGGTCCAGGTGCATGATGACAAATGGTATGGAACGGCAGTCGGGCCATCCGAAGGCGATGGGGCCAGAGGCCGTGGCGATTCTGGATATGTTTCCGGCCATGCGACCGGAATATGCTGGCCGGCGGTGGCGGTGGACTCGTGGGAGGCGGGGAACAGGCTAGGACTGGGCCTCAGCCTGCCCAAATGTACATTGAGCCGAGGAGAGACCTTGGTGTTCAGAATGGGTAGCTGGGTGGCGCCGAAGGAGCGATGGGCCGTGGTCCGGCACCTGACTCCTTTCGTATGCACAGAGGGTAGCTTCGAGACACCATCGGCGGCCCCTGGGCCGGTGAAAGCGGGAAAAGGCGGCGATCTCTGGCAGTCCATGCTCGAAGCTGCCAGGGCGGAGGCTTGTACACTCGTGGACTCCTTGGCTAGGACCTGGCGCCGGACGCGGGGGGCCCAGAGCCAGGGCGTGGAGACCGACCGAGGGGGAACTCGGGCGGAGGGAGTCCTTGGGGCAGGGGCAGGCACGTCTGGGGCTGGTTCCAAGGGGAGGAAGCCGGGCGGGGGAAGGAATGAGGCGCGAGACAGGCAACGAGCGGGGGGCGGTCCGTGTCGGGTGGGGAGCGGGGAGGAAGGCGAGGACGGGAAGGAGGAAGGGAAAGAGGACAGGAAAGGGGAAGGAAGAAAAGCGGAGGCCGCTACTGCGAAGAATCAGGAGACGATGAGCCTTCAGGGAGTCGATGGAAGGGCACTGAGGGAGGGAAATGCTTCCACGGCACGCGTCGAGACTCCCACCGCCCTGGGATTCGTGAGGAAGGAGGCGGGGGACCAGGGCGGCTGCCGACAAGGAAGGGGAAACGGGACTTATCCAGGGGCGCCAGGGGAGGGGCAGCCGGATTCAATGAATCATTCCGTGTCAAGCAGGAACCAGTCCAGACTCCCCCCCCCCCGACCACTGACCCCTGAGGAGGTGGAAAAAATTCGCCGCCTGGCCGAAGGGCTCCTGTACATGGCAGGGCTGGAGGGAGGGCAAGGAGAGGACGGCCTGCGTCGGGATTTGAACGCGCTGCGCTTGTTCGTGAGCCGGGGAAAAGAGATCTCTCAGCCCACCCTGGCCCGCTTGGAGAGGGGGTTGAGGACCTACATGGGCCGCATGCGGGCACAGCTGTTGCGCGGAAGGAGGGAGTACCGACGGTGGCAACGAGGGAGCAGGGGGAAGGAGGAGAAAGAGGTGGACGCAACCGAAGTGTATAAGGCGCTGGAGTCGACCGTACTGGCTGCCACCCGACGGCTGGAGAAGCGACGAGGGCCGTTGCAGCGTCTGCTTGGACAAGCGAGGAGGGGAGGGGCGGGGGCGAGGGAGGGCGGCAACGGAGGGTGCGTGCAAGCGCGGGGGCGAGAGCAGCTCATGATGGACGTGGAGGTGGCCCTGGATGCCTTGACGAGGGTGAGAGACACATTGCTCGCAACGCAGGCCTCGACAGGGCAGAAGGAGGACAAGGAAGAGACTACGAGACCGACTGCTTCCTCCCATGGGCCCCGCCATCCCCAGGTTGCACGGACCATCGCCTCCCCAGGAAGGTCAGCGATACATGGGAGGGATGATAACGAGAGCAGCATGCTGCAAGCAGCAGCGCTTTTCCGGCTGGGGAGGGAGTTGACGGAGGATCAGATCGCGGCGGCGGAACATCTACTCCGGGCCTGTGAAGACTTTCGCGTGAGATTGTTGAGACACCAGGTGGAATCACGCACATTGAGTGACGGTCTCGACAGCGAGAAGGAAGGAAGGACGAGGCCAGAAAGGCAAGGAGGGCTGACCACGTGCAGCCCTCTAAACATCCAGCAGAGGTTCTTCGGGCCCGGTCCATGGAGCCCGGTGTATTGAGAAGGAGGGAAACGAGGATGGGCATGCGGGAGCGGCGTTTACGTCGGCCTCGAATGAGTAAGTGAACATTAATGCTTTCGATACTGCAAGCCTGCAGTTGTTCCCGTAGGCATGATCGCACCAAGCATTGTTATTTCTTTTGCCTCGCCTTGCCGATTCGAAAGGTGCTTTTCGACAGTAGCGCCCCGTTTGACTTGAACGGTCGCTGTAAAAAAGAACTTTCCTTCCCCCAGCTTTCCCCGGTCCTCTTCCTTTCTTTATTCCTACACCCTCAGCTTGTCCTGAATGGCATCCAGAGTCATTTTCAAGTGGGACCACTTGCTCCCATACCCCATACCACCCGCAGCGTCCGTCTGCCTCTCTAGCCACTCCTCCTGACCCTGCAAGGCCTTGAGTAACTCGGTGTGCACCTGTTCCCGAGGGAAGTCTGGGTCCAATTCCACGCGGTAGCAGACAAGATGGTAGAGAATGTCCACGAGATTTTCGAATATATATCGCAGGCTGGTCCGCAGGTACGCGTAGTCCCAGGGGACTCGCTGCCCGACGGGCGCCACTGAGGCGGCCACGGCGGTAAATCCCCCTCGAAAGACGTCCTTGATGGAGGGTATAGGAGGAGAAGGCCCGTTCCCTTGCGCAACCAAGAGAGAGAGAGACATGCGCAGCGCGACCAAGACGATTTCCACCCGCACGTTGGGGTACCGGGATTTCCGTAGACGGCGACGCATGTAAGTGGTCAGATGCACTAGGAGGACCTGACTGACAAGGAGTTTGAAGGCGTCGGAGACGCGCCAGGAATATTGAGGGCTTGCTCCATGCGGTGGCTCGCAGGGTATGGCGTGGTCGTCTACATCTTCCACGACAGCCCACCATCCTTGGGCAGGCGCGCGCACGTGGAACCGCACCGCCAAAGGTGGGAGGAGCTCGACACCAAAGCGTTCGAATAGATCGTTGATCAGACGTCGGTATTCGTCCTGGGACGAGGACAGGGACGGTGGGGCTCCGTATCCCAAGACTCCACTGCCCTTGACACCCACCGTCTGCGCCAAGAGCCCGACCATTACTCCCAGTTCCTCCAAGCCGCCCAAATCCTGCTGCCTCGCTTCCATGAACTGCATGAGCACGCGGGAGTGCCGGCGAAGAAATTTCTCCACTTGGGGACACAGGTCGACATGCAAGGGCAACTTGCTCATCATAGTCTGCAGCAGCCTGAGGACACTACCTAGATTGTCGAGCAATTCCTCTTTCCTCCGGCCCATGCCCTCCACACTGGGGCCATCCACGTCTTCGAGCATGGCCAGGAAACGCATGCCACTCAATGAGTCGAGCACCCCACGCTCCAGTAATATTTGTGCGCCCCGGGCATCCGAAACCGCTTGTGTCAGCAGCGTTAGGTAGAAGCGAAAGGTAGCGTCCCAGGGGCGCTCCTCATAGAGATCACCTGAGCCGTCCGCCGTGTTCCTTGCACCCACGGGCTTTCCAGTTGATCCGCCGTTGCCTTCAATCGGGATCTTTCGTGAGGTCAGCACGGCCCAACCGGGCGAAGGCAGTGCAGGAGGAGGATACAGCTCCTTCCCGCCCACATAGGCACCCTGAAGCACCGGTTCGAAGACAAGGTCCCTGCTGCCTCGCCTTGTTTCTCTTTCCATGCAATATTGCGCGTTGAGACCTTCCAAAAGCCGTGGGAGGTATTCCACAGCCTCCCGAATGGCCGAGTCATATTTTCCTATCTGGGGCGCCACGCCCAAGGGCAGGTATACCCCCTGGCTAGCGGACGCGGATGCGGCGGAGGAGTTCACCAACGTCTCCAAGACCAACCCCAGACAGGACGCGGCGCAGGCTTGGTAACGACTCCGGGCTTTGCCCAGGGAGGGCGTAAACGTAGCATCCTCGGCCAAGACTTGGAGCAAAGGGCGGAAAAACCGTGGGGCAGTGAGCGCCTCCGCGTTTTTGTCCTGTCGGGCCACCCGAAGACCCTTGTCTGTAGGGTCCCAGGACGTGGACCGCGAGGCATCTCGATCGCCCTCTCCCGCTGTCAGCATGGGCACGGACGACCTTTCGCCCCCCATGGAAGCCTCAGCAGCTGGCAGGGGCCACACTGTAGTGGCCCGTAGGTATAAGATAATGGAGCAATACCCTTGCGCGCGCAGTTTCTGTTGCGTCAATCGTCCCGGTTCACCCTCCTGGCCCCCGAGGGCGCAAAGCAAGGCTTGGAGCAGCAGTTGGAGGATCCGTTGGCCCTCGTCGAGGGAGAGGACAGTCAGGGAAAGTCCGCCCGTTCGGTTCATCGCGTATCTCCATACGGCATCGACGCTAACCAGGATGACAGTCGAGATCTGCTCGAGCGCCTTCACGTCACCCTGAGGATGCTGGGCAAGTTTATTCACGGCCTGCGATAAAAGGGTCAGGAGGAGGCTAAATGCCTGCGGCGGAGAGGAGGGTGTCGATGCGAGTGGCCCCTGGATGTGGGGGAGCAAGGGGCTCTCGCGGCTTTCCCTCACGACGGCTTCCGCGAGCCGTTTCCAGGCAACACAAACGTGATACTCCGCAGCCTGTCGGAGCAAGAAATGGTTGTACCGCAAGCAGTAATCCGAGGCGACCCGAAGACTGTGGAGGGTAGCTTCCGGCGGCCCACCCACCATGATATTCGTGCCGGCCGGAGACCTCATCCCGCCGATCCTGCCCTTCTCGGCGCTGGCACCGATGCCTGCTCCTCCCATTTCCATCCCCATTTCTCCCATCCCCTCCCCAGTCCCTGGTCCCATTGCCACCTGCGAAGTGCCCAAGGCCAGCCGCACCTCGTGCAAAAAAAAGTCTTCCTGAATCCCGCGAAACACCCTCCCCTGCCCCGACAGACCTGGGAGGGGGATGGAACACCTTTCGGCCACAGCGCGCATCTCTTCCGTGGGTGGCTGGGGCACCTCGCCCTGGTGAGCCAGCTGGAGCTGCTGCAAAAGCCACGTGAGCGTGCAAGTCTGGGCTTCGGAGTCTTGGTCCCCATCTCCAGACTGGCCTCCGGGCAAGCAGGTGGGGGGAGGGGAGGAGAGGAGGAGGGAGAGCAGGCGACGGGAACGCGAATGGGTGCCAAGGTGCTGGGCGTGAAAGAGGAGGAGGGCCATGGACTTGAGGAACCATGCCCACATCTGGAGGGAAGAGGAATAGGAGAGATGCGCTTGCAGGTAGCGACCGAGGGATTCTGGGGCTCCTTCTCCGAGCTGGTGAGAGCGGAGGGAGGACCGCCGTCGAGCTCCAGGAAGGGGGGAGAGGAAGGAGGAAGGGGAAGGGGACGCGGGCGGGGACGGGAAGGGGCGGCGGGTGAGGAGGTGGAACTGGTGGTGGAAAAAGTCCACGCCGTCCTGCAGCAGGTAGGTGAGGGTAGCTTGCCGGGTTTTGGGCGATTGGCAGAGGCGGTAGACGAGCTCGAAGGCTCCTTCCGCTAGCAAGGGGGCAAGCGTGTGAAAAAAGGGCGCAGACAGGTTGCGGAGGATGCGTTGGAGTCCGAAGTCCAGCGAGGCGGACGCGGAGGGAAAGGAGGAGGAGGAGGCGGGGAGGCTGAGGGGGCCGGTGCCCTCGTCGATCAGGTAACCGAGGAAGAGGTGGGAGACGGTGGCACGATAGGGAAGGAGATTCTAGGGCGGGTAAGAGAGGGAGAGGAGGGAAAAAGGAGTGGGCGGAAACGACATGAGCTTTGAGGCGAGGACCCGGACGCCGGTCAGCACGAGAAGGAACAAACAGGGGGCACCAGGAAGGACAAAGCTAGGGCACCACCTACCTTTAGCAGAAGGTCCAGGACGACAAAATGCACCCATCGGTCCACCTGGCCCCCAGTCAAGGCTTGGGCACCACCCAGCTTGGATAGCAGGGTCATGGCGCGCGGCAGGTTGGTGAGCTCCACCAGCGCCGAGCCCTCCATAGGCAGGATCTCCCCCGTGTAGCACAGGGACTTCAAGACCGCGTCCACCGCCCACTGACGGTGCCCGTCCTCCTCCCCTCCCTCCCTCCCGGTCCCAGTGCCCGGCGCACCCAGGGCTGGCAGGGGTCGGAACATGTCGAGGAGGTCCTGGGGCTGCGGGACGCGGGCCATCAGAGTGCGGAGACAGAGGCTGGCCTGAAGACGGAGGGGGGGATGAACGTCGTAGGCGGAGTACTGGGCGAGGAGGGGAAGGAAGAGGCCTTGGGCAAGGATGGAGGCGGACGGGGAAGCGGAGGAGGAGATGGTGGCGATTTTTCGCCCCCGTCGTCCCTCGGCGCCCCGGCCCATCCCCACCCCCAGCGCCCCGTCGGCATATCCACGCGCGACGATTTCGTTCAAAGTGGCCACCTGGGCCCCCTCAAAAAACGGGTGTTCGACCAGGGTGGTGTGGAGTCGCTTGAATTCCACATCCTTGCAGAGCACGTTGTTCAAGAGCTCGAACGCCACGCACACCGCGTCCTCCTCCCGGGACACTTCGTCGTCCTTTCCCCCCAGACCTGCGGCCCTCCAACTCGTGCCTTCCCCCCCATCCCTGCTCTCCCCTCTCCTGTCCCCACGCCCGCCCCTCCCCATAAGTCCCTCTTCGTCATCAAACACCAGCACGGCTTCGTCCCACGCCTGTGCCTCTCGCAACCTGTTCTGCTTCTCCAACCGCCACGGCCCCGGCGGGCACGCGTCTCCCGAGCTTCTTTCCGTGGTATTGGTCGGGTACTGAATCAGAGGGAGGCCGTTCATATCGACCCGCGGCTGTTCTCCCAACGGCGTGCTGCCGCTGTAGCTTCCAGGCATTGGGGCTGCACTCAGATCCGCTGCCGCGACAACATCCAGGACCAAGCCTAACAGGCCTCCATTGCCTGAGGGAACCCCTCCCCCCGCCCCTGTACTGCTTCCCAGCAGGCGCATCAAGACATGGAAACCTATCGAAGGGCTGTGACCGACCTGCGGGTCCATGTCCCGTTGCGCCTGCCAATGCATCTCCCGACGTTGCCGGCTGTCGACGTGCAAAAGCCGCAGCCGCTCCTCGTCGGGCTCCAAGGGGTAACGCTCCAAGACCAAGATCAACACCCTCAGTCCCAGACTCAAAATCTTCCATTTTTGCGCGGGGTACAGGAACTGCCGAGCAGGGAGGGGAAGGAGGATGTCTTCGATCAGGTACTCCACGTACGGCCAGACTCCGTCTTGTCGGCCTCGTGCCGCCCCCAGATCAAAGGGCATGTCTGCCCGCAACAAGGCGACCAGCAAGAGCAAGAATCCCTCGGTGATGGGGAAGAGCCCCATTTTGCTTTCCACGTCTTCCAACTCGAACCGCAACCCCTCTTTTTTCCCTTGCCGAGGCACCATGCCCAGCATCTCTATGTGCTCCCAGAGCTGCCGCGCCATGCCGTCGGGGAGGGCCGCAAAGGGGGCTAGCGCCCGTAGAAGCGCGCCTTTGAGCTCGGGAGCAAGAGGGAAACTTAGCAGGGAGGTGAGAAGGGGAAGGAGGTGGCTGACGTAGGCCAGGTCGGGGTCGAGGGCGAGGGTGGGCGAAGTGAGGCGTTCGACCAGAAGGAGGACACCCAGGAGGGAAGCACGGTGTACGGGTTGGTTCTGCTGCGCCCGCTGGAGACTATCTTCCAGCACGTATGTAAGCACGTCCCGGTTCTGGCGCGTCTGGAGGGAAAGGAAGGGAGAATAGTCGACGAGGAAATCCATGGTGGCGGCCTTGCACTCCTCGTTGGAGGAAACGGTCATGGCCCCCACCAAACGAATCCACGCGCTCCGCAACGGTGCCTGCGTCTCGTTCTTGATCAACTCCGACAGGTCCTTCACGAATTGCACGGGCTCCAGTTCACCGCCGTCCCGCCCCCCCGCTCGAGTCCACAGTAGACGCTCCCCCACCGCCGGGTGGCTCTCGCCCAGTCGCACCACGAGGGAGACCAACCCTTCCACGGCCGCTCTCCTGTATCCCATGGCGTCTCCGGCCGCCTCCCCCCGAGCAAAATCCACCAGCCTTCGCACCAGGATCCCTTGACCCTCTCTCAAATAGCCGCCTACCAACTCTCCCACGCAGTCGAGGAAAAACATCTGAATGTCTTCCTGCCCCGGGCGGCGCCAGCAGGCCACCATCCCTCGTTCCAGGAAAGGGAAGACAGCTTGGCCCACCGCTTGCGTGAGCAATTCTTTCCGAAGTTCTGGAAGCGTGCGAGGATCCTGGACATAGCCAAGGCGCTCCGACAGCGCCTGGTCCCGGAAGAAGGCCCCCCAGGCCAGGAGGACGACCGCGTGGATGCCGGCATGCGCCCACCCCCCCTCTATCTCCCCTCGGAGCCCGCTCAGGGTCTCGGAAATTCGAGCCTGGGTGTCTTTGAAAGCTTTTTCCTTCTCTTTCAATGTTTCTCGTACCGCCGCAGGAAGCGTGGGATGCGTGGCATGGGCCGTCCTGTACGCTTTCTCGTACGCCTGTTTCGCCTCCGTCGCCGCACGCAAGCCCCCCTCCTCCTCCAAGTACAACAACAAGGCATTGCGTTCGCCCTCCATCCTCCCCCTCTCTGTCAGTTCTTGTTGGCCTGCTCGGGCGTCCGGGTGCGCGGCCAGCCCGTCGAGCGTCATCAGACATGTGACAAGGGTCATCAGCAGGGTCGACAGGGTCTTCAACACCGCCCGTTCCTCCCTGCTCTTCTCCTGTTCTTCACCCACCGCCACCACGCTGAACCTGCCTTTCATATCCTCCGTCAGCAGCTTAACGAGTCCGATGAGTGTGACCGGGGAGGGGTGGGACGCAGGAGGCAGTGAGGACGGAAGGGTCGGGAGGCCTGTGGCTGCGACGCCCTCCTGGGGGAAGGCCGGGAGAGAGAGAAGCTCCGAGGGTAGTATCTGCGTCTGGTAAAAGAGGAAAAACAGGCAGTCGGCTGCTTTCTGGCGCTCTATTTCAAATTCCGTCTCCGCTGCCGACCGCCCCCGGCAGCGTATGTCCCTTGTAATCTTCGATATCCGCTCCATCAGGACCGAGGGCAGTCCCTGGGCAATAAGACTGTCCGTCGCCACCATCACCGCGTGCTGTTTCGCTTCCATAAGTCCCATGCCGATGCGGGCCTGGACTAGTTCCAGCAAGGCGTTCAGGGCGGCGCGTTTCTCGATGAAAAAGAGGGAGCGGGCGGTGGCCTCCAGATCGTGGTGCGAGGATTCCGTTATCATGCTGCTCTGGACACCATGCAAGCCTACGAGTGACGATCGGTACATGTCGCTTCGCATATTTCCTTCCTTTGCCCCTTCTGTCCCTTTTCTTTGCCGTCCTCTTCTTCCCATCTTTTGCTCCACCCACTTGCGGACATCTTCAGCACTTGCAGCCCTGATTAAATTCAAACAATACACATGGTCCAGGTCCAAGTCTCTGCTCAAGGTTTCCACCATATCTATGGCTTGTTGTTGGCGTGCAGGATCTATTTTCACCTTAGCACCGCCCATCTCTGATTCCCCCTTGATGATACGAATGACCAACGCTCTGGAACTGTCGGTCGATGGCGGGTGCAAGCATAGCGGGTGCGGCCGCCACCCGTCATCCCCGATTTTATCACCAATCCTTGTTTCGAAAGGAGGTTCGACGTACAGGCTGAATTGAAAACCAAAGTCAGCGCTTCCCGTATCGTCATGGGGGTGCTCGAGGAAGCATCGAATGGCCTCGTAGAAGCTTGTCATCGGTTTGCGGGGGATCATGGCTTCTACCTGTGGTTGTGGACGAACCCGCCACCTCCACCCAGCAAGAAGCCTCTGCCTCCGTCAACCCTGATGCAGAGGCCTGTGCAAGCGGATTTTGACGCGAATTAGACGCAGCGTGAGTGTTCTGTAATAGGGCCCAATTTCCTAGGCAAGGGAGAAGCCAAAACAGCGAGGGGGCATCGGACGAGCAGATGAGGGGCAGGAGGTTAAAATCCTATATGGAAGTAATTGGGCGCTGGAAAGGAACGTAAATGCAGTTCTACACAAGTCTATTCAATTTCCATTCTATTATTGAATCTTTAAGTACCGTTTGTTTAAACCTTTATAAGCGGAGTGTGTGTGTCACGACACGTGGACCTTCTCTGAGGGACGCAACCTTTTCACCTTCGTCAGACTGCTTTGGGTTTCCTTTCTCATGATTATGACAACAATACTTGCATTTGTGCGACCACTCAAGAACTTATTATGACATTGACAGTAGGAAAAGACAGAAAGGGGACATGTGGACTTCTTCGCTGCAATCATTTTTATTTTACTACCGCCGCGAATGATCGGGCATGGACGTCTCTACAAAAACTAATGAAGATCACTTTCTGCGGCGCGACAAGGGAGCTAGTCCCGAGATACAGAGGTTGTGTCAGTCTAAATGCAAGTACGTTATTCGTCTTTTGGCAGAACATAGGGAAATGAACAATTTTCCGAGGGTTACCGACGCGTACATATATAACACAGACGCTACGCATGCGACATCCAGAAGTGTCTAGAGCGTAACAGCTACCAGGAAAAATCGGTAAGCATAGAGGAGGTACAATTTAGTCTCTGTGCGTGCTTAAGCTGTAAGGTTTTGGCTGAAGGGCCTATCTCATGCCCCTTTTCCCTTTTACACACATGTTATTTATTGGAGCAAAGTGTTGGAAAGAAATAGCTTACTGGGATATTTGTTGCGACAAGATCAAGGCAAAGGACGGGAAAAGTGTGGCAGTGCCACATTCTTGACTTCATTTTGTTGGTGCACTTTCCACTTTAGCTCTTACGCCAGCGAGCCGATCGGGTAAGTGGTAACAGAAATAACAAGAGCATGCAATAAAAAATGTGAATAATGGTGGATGATCTTTTGTTTGCTTTTTTATTTGGTCTTAGATGATGCGCCACCCTCTTCAAACGATTTCTTTAATACGCGGACGTTGACAATGATGTAGCTAAGCGATACGATCGTGTTCGTGTACGATAGTAGTAGTTTAAGCCCATTAAGATCGGTCTGAGCCATGCATTTCTTTATTTTTGAAGTCAAACAACATCGCAAGCCGTCCATCGAACAGATTCGTGAGTTTGACGAAACTATGCGTGTGTGAGTTGCAAGACAATGATTTCGAGAGAAAAACTTGGGGAAATACCGGGACAACTTTTGTATGCCTTCTATTCCCAGTATCTTTCCATGGCGAGTTAAACCCGCAGGACCTTCCATGGCATGTTTAAGTACTGTTACTATCGTATACCAAGAAATGCTTCTCGCGTAGCAAGCTATGCTTGGATTAAGAATTGAAAAACAAGATAAGACAACGTTTCTGAAACTTGATTCTCAGTAGTTATGTTTTGGCTTGGTCTTTTCAATCATGGTCTTTCCTATCACGCATTAGCTAGAGTATCCAATCGTGCAGCCGGCGGTAAGATGATCTTAGAAATTGAGATGTTTGTTTATCGCAGAAGTCTCACGCCACTTTATCTTCCAAGACTCAACTATGCAATTTATGATAAGACAATATAGTGTATCGCTTCAAAGTATAAGCCAAGTCATGTTTCAGCGAGGCTTGGATGGAAGATTAAGCAAGCGAGAAACGAGGGACGGGCTGGGTTGCTGTCAGATCAGACCACGCTCGACTACCCGGATGCAAGCATTCGAGCATGACGTGATGGGGCGATTTGCAACAATTTATCGTGCTTACGGCCATAACATATGAACAAAAATCACATGCTCAGGTTTCATGAGACAGTGTTCGCGATTGGGCGTTGTCGGCAGAACCAAATGTAGAAAGCGGCTGTTGCCCTCGGCATGGAAAGGGAGAGCAAGACCATCATTACCATCCGTGCCACATCCATCGCTGGGGTTTCTACGACCTTTTCACGCCAATCCTGTGCATCTCTTGGTGGCCGCGCCGATCGCTTCGAAAGTTTTGACCACAAGTTATGGTTCAGACGCGGAGGATGATCGGGCAAAGAAAGACTTTCTGGCATTTATAGAGCCAGAGGACCAAGACGTTGCAATTATGGTAATGCGTGATGCGTATAACGCGGCGGCCAAAGGGCAAGAGACGGTAAATAAGGACGCGAAAACACCCGGAGAGGACGCCCTTGAACCATTCATCTTGCGTTCGCTGCCTTCGTCTTCCTCTCTGGAATTTTTTTCGTCTTCACGTTCTTCAGCTCTCGCCACTTTCTGTAACGCCCTGCTGTGCGGGTTAGCACGGGCTAACGACCCCGCCCTTCTGGACAAAGCGTTTGCGTACCTGGGAAAGATGCGAACCCGTCTCCCTCAAGAATTTGCCGAAAGGGCTTTGCCGTCAAATGCGGCCCGGAGTCACATGATACGGACGTGCGCCATATTAGTTCGAGGCGCAGGGCTTTTCCGACACTCCGACACGGGTGAACGACTCGCTGCACCCTCTCCTTCGGAAGGTCCGTCTTTCAATTCTCCCGTCAAAGCAGCATCCGGAGGCAGTAAATATATCAGGTTGAGCGAAATGCTCTTTGAAGAATACTTGCACTCCTCCATGGAAGCCGTACGTCGCGAGCCCAACAACAAGGCCCTTTTTTCCGAATATCTCTACCATACTCCCCGACTACTAAGCTCCATGATATACATCTATTGTCAAGCCCGGGAAAATCGGAAGGCTGTGGCTCTCTTCAACCGGTTGCGGGACCAGACGTTCCCATGTTCGATCGTCCCGGATGGCTTGGCCGTCGCTGGTGTCATCCGGGCGCAAGCTGTCTCCCAGGGGCCGCTCGAGGCCTGGGAGCACCTGCAAGAGTTAAGGAGAGGAAACCCGCCCATTGACGTGGCTACGTTCTTTGGGTTGTACAAAACCTTTGCCTTCTGCATCCTCAGCCATGCGCCCTCGGGGGGACGGCCCGGGGACGCGCTTCACGCATTGGCCCATCGGGTCGTGGAGGACATGCGGGCCCATGGGATCAGGCCGTCGGCGACGCAGTGGCACATATTCATGAAGGTCGAGACGCTGTTCGCGGACTGGGAGCGTATACAGCAGTACATGGCGTGGATGAAGGAGGACGGCTGGTCGTACGGAAGTTACGAGTATGGCATGTTGATCGAGGCGTTGGGAGTGCGGAAGCAACTGGGATTGATTGCGCAGGTCCGGGCCAAGATGGAGAAAGAAGGGATACCCGTCACGTACGTGGTGTACCTGAGCATCATTCAAGCATATCGGAGAGCCTACGACGTGCGGAGCGCGGAAGCTGCTTTCAGGGATTGGCAGAGGGAGCCCTGGCGGGATGAGGAGGAAGTCAAGCATCGCGCCGAGCCCGTGGAGATCGTCACCACGATGATGAAAATATATGCAAAGGGAGGCCTGCCCGAGAAAGCGTGGGCGCTGTTCGTGCAGTACCGGGAGGGAGACGCCATCGGCGGCGAGGAGCCCGGGGAGTGTGACAAGGGTCATCAGC